GTTGTTACTATTCAACGCAACAGTGGAGATTGGAAAACGTTTGTGGTGAGTTTCAATGAACATTTATTGCTTCTTGTTTCTACATTTTGCTTTTCTAAATCTAACTGTTTTTTTTTGAAGTTCGTTCTGTGTATTGCTTTCATATAACTGTCTCTCACTTATATTCACTTGAGTTATCTCTTAATGGCGTACTTATGCGGCAGCATAGAATCGAATTGAGGGAGAACATTTACGATTCTACCCCTTTTCACTTTAGTGCTGCTTTGGAGATGAATTCACAGCTTTTCCTCTAATGTCCATTATTTTGCCTCTCAAATTTGCAACAGTAGTTCTCGCCACACCTTTTCGTCGTTTCATATTCAAATGCTTCTCTTACGAACTCTTATCCTTCAACAACTCGATTCACTGACCACATTATTTCAACGATATGGAATATTTCAGCGATAAATCTTCATTTTTCATGTGCCTGTGCTTCGAGTTCGCAATCTACTTCACTGCTTATTCAATCTAGAAGTCTATCAGTGGTGGCTCGAAACAGTCCTTTTCACATCCCAGTGGACCAGCTTAGGGTTGAATAACGGGAGAACGTGTACGATTCTACCCCTTTTCACTTTGATGCTGGTATGGGCAATAGGTCCTTTCTGGTAAATTTCTCAGTAATGACTTCTTTCATTTTATTTGTCTCTCCTATTCTTTCTTTTGCTTCTGAAGTTACTTCATGTTATTTAATCCGAGGCTCAAATCCAAGTTAAATAAGTACAAAAAAGAAAGTTGGACAACGTCGGCCATAGCTTATGAAAGCTGAAGAAGAAGAAGCTAGAGGTTGACGATATAGTAAGAACCTTTGTCCTAATCACCTCTTTCTTCGATTTTACAATGGCTACTTCGTTGTGGGATCAGAGCCTACCGTACCTCCAGTCCGATTTCAACGCTACAATGTGAGAAGTCACGCTTGTGAGTTACAGGCCTTAAACTGCCGTTGATCTGACGCTTCGGCTATTTCGATCTCATTAATTATTAGTTACTCTCTAGTTATTTGTCATTTCTTTTTTTCATGTCGTGAATGCTTTATGCGTTTATTTGAGTCCACTTAGAAAACTATCGTGAATATGGAGTCTAAACGATGTAACTGTTCTATTTGTGGTAAATTATGAGCAAACATAGTATACAGGAGCATCTGCGCTCTATACACAATCTTTCACCCACGTCTGCTAAGCAAGTCATGGCACAGGCCAAGGAGGAATTCGAGAGCGGAGGGAAGCAGAGGTTCTCCTGCAACGAATGTGGAAGAATGTTCTCATCGAAAAGGGGCCTCCAGATAAATCAGAGTTCGCATTAGGGTCTGCCGTGGTCGAGGAGGAAGAGAGACGCGATGTATCGTCACAGTGCTGCCTTTGTGAAGAAGTATTCAAAACCCATGAAGAACTAAGTCAGCACTGTGGAATTGATCATCTGAATGACGGGGCCATGGGAAGACCGCAAGACTACGTTTTTCACAATGTATCCTTCCAGAGCTCGGAGGACTTTGAAGTAAGTACTATGTAAGATGCAAATTCTCAATAGAAGAAGTTCATTTAGGAATGGATGAAAAGAATGTGCAACCTGAATTGTACTTCATTTTTTTGCAGACCAAGCAGAAAAGGCGGAAAGGACTCGACAATGCGGTCTGACCATTACAGCTTGTTAACCTCTTTATACGTTTTCCTTATTGGTAATTATATAGGTGTAACCGATGTGGCGAAGGTGCTTCGCAAGGAGAGCGTCGCATGCGCGCTAGCATGAAAGTGCATTTGTACTGCCCCTTTGCAAATGTGCACTTTAAAGAAGATGGCACAGTGTGCGTGGTAGCCTGCTTCGGCCACATAGGGCACGACCTCGATCCTGCCCCGTTACGGTGGACAGACGAACAGTTAAAGTATTTGAAACACATGATTCAAGGTAGATGGCGCTATTATGATGTATCACGAATGTATTCGATCACGATTGCACATTCTAGAATTTTCCACTGATTACATTATACAAACAATGAGAAAGGATTACGAGTCCAAGGAATGTAAGCTCTACTTTGTTACGAAGAAGGACCTCTGGAATGTTATGACAAAGTACAAGCTGACACCAGGGTTACGTGACAGAGATGATATTACTTCACTTGTATTGAGAGAGCAAGAACGAAACCCGAGTGACGAAATACGTTTTTTCAAGAAGCAGGACGAACCGAGTGGAAAGGGTTTTGTTCTTGGTTAGTCTTGTCACGATGATAAACGAATTGCGTTGTTGGAAGGGCCCCATTACAGTGATCATCATACCACGCCAACAAAAATGGCTGGACCAATTTGCGAGTAAGGGAATTGCAGTTAATGTCACC